GTGAATGTGAATAAGTACTTTTCATCCTACTGATTTATTGATATTTTTACACAGATTATAATAACAATAATAATAAATAGGGCAGTAACCAATAATGCATCAATATTCCTTTCATTATTACTATACAATAAAAGATCGAATAAGAAACGATAAATCGAACCAGCAAGAATATCAGAATGAAGTGTTGTCAGAGTAAGAATGGCCTTCTGATAGAGCTGACAAACGATCGCAGTCATCGACGGTACGGTTAACGGCTGTGGCAAATTCGACGGTTGCGTTTCAAGACGAAGACTGTTCAGTTTCTTCCATAATTCTGCAGTTTCAATCAATTTTTTGGAATGAAGCAGCCATTTAGAGCATGATTAGATGGACTGATTATGAGCAATTCGAATCTAAATAGAGTGATTTCCGGGGGTAAAGAGATTAAGAATGGATTTTGTTGGAAGACGCTATTTCTATGGCACAATGACGACTAGAATATGGTGAAAATGTGTCAAAAAATGGGAGCGGAAAGAAGGCATGATACAGACATCTCTTATCAATGAATTTGATCGGTATCGATGAATTTCAAATATAAATTACATGAACATATGCGATACACGACGAAATCTTTAATTTCTGATTCAAAATACTCATCGTACAAATCAAAAGAAGATAAAATTATTTCAATGCACTGCTTTATGAAGCAACATCTAATTTCACAATCGCTCTTAAGTAATTCTACGAAATCCTCTCGCAGCCAATTCAATGGTCTGAGACGGGCAACAGACCAGAAATTTGACTAAAGTGTTAATGGTTTACCCCAAATGAATAGACGCACTCTCAAAAAAAATTTTTTAAAGGATACTTTGAATTGATGTGCTGAGATCAGTTTGTGTGTTGCTGTTGTTGTTTGTTGATTGAGCACAACCATTCACAACGGCCGCACCATTGGAATTTTGTGAATTATCTTCACTATGGAGGACCTTATCGAATAAGCACGTAACCATTTGTTTAGACCATAAATACTGCAGTTGTTTTGAGGCTAACGGTAGAGCACCTTCTATCCTACAATTCTGATATGGACATTTACATCATCATTATAATAAATTTCAAAAGTATCAAAAAGGTTTTTTTAACATCCCCTCGATATAATGAAAACACAAACTGCACAGATTCGAAATCTTCCGCGGTATTTTTTCTTCTGATTCTATAATGAACAGCAACGAGTCGAATTATATACCCGAAAAATCACCATCAAACGCTACGAAAGTGTATTGGGCGATAAAATGAGAACGATAAAAGATCATAAATAAACACAAATAGAATGATGAAATACGCAAATGGATAAATAAACGAAGAAATTTTGAAAAATAAACAAAGAAAACAGCAATGAACATACGAATGACTTAACGGCTCATAATACCATCCAAAAATCGGATGCCAATGACCCCTCCCGCCGCTTTGTTTTTTAACAATCAATTCATCACACTTCATCAACATTTTATTCATAATATTCGTCCATTCTATCAAACATTCCACCAATCCCTACAATCTCTTCACTCAAATCGTTCACATAAAACATTCACACACACACAGGATGAAACGAAGTGGGCTTCATCCAATCCGATGAACAATAACTGCTTATGAAGTCCATCTCACTAAGCTCTACCAATTACATACACATGCATATAAACTAAATTTCATCACAAATAATAAGGACGAATCAATTGGCAAAAGTAGAGTGCAATGGATTTTATAAAATTTCCATAACACACCTTGCAATGATTCAGTAGTATCTTGCAAGTTAACATCGTAGTACACAACTTTATCCCCATCATTATTATGACTACAGTTAATATGGGAAATATATTGACTTCAATGATGAATGCATTTGTTTGGTTGATATTTATGTGATACTCAATTCAGTAAACAATCGTATTGAATATTACGAATGATTTTTTCTATAACGAATCGATAGGATGAGAAATACACTGAGAATTGATGAAACAACTAACGATTTGATCGATATAACTCAAGTGAATGAGATTCGCAAGAAGAAATAATGTTCTACTGCCATGAATATTGTTTAGTATACTCGAATTTGTTGACAGTGTATTCAGTGCTTTCGCAAAAACACCATTTTTCACCAACAAATCAATACTCTGAAATATCGCAAGATGCAAGTTATTCCAAGAAAATAAGATGAATTTTCAAAAAAACTAATATTACCCCGAATTCTTTTGCGGAAGGAACTACAGGTAAGGTGACTGAAACAATTAGTAATGATAAGAAATTTCATCGTTACAATAAGAGTCTCATTATTATCACAGCTATTATTTTTATTCTATGATCATGAACGGAGAAATGAACGAATGAATGGTTATCGTACCGTGGGTGATAGATGCATGAGAAGCGCAGGACATACAAGACAATGCTCCACGAACAGGCTTGTCTCTG